GCAGGCCATATCCCAGCCCCCACATGGCTCCTGTGCCCCGCCTCCATAAGCCTTGCACAGCTCCCGCCCTCCCCCTCAAATAACCAGAATGTTTAGGTTACTGGCACGCCCTAATCCCCAGGCATGCCAGATAACACAGGTTTTACTGTATATGGCCCAGAAGAAAAGACAAGAGATCACCTGTAAAGAAGGCATCCAAGAGCTCATCTATATCCCACACTCCATAATATGTATGCATATCTGTACACACTGCGGTGAATTCAATTAAGGAACTGAAAGATGTATTTTGCCACTTTAAAATTGTGAACTGACATTTTTTTAAACTGACTCTAGTGAACTGTATACGTAGCATGGATTATAAAAATGCAAAAAAGATTTCTTTCCACACTGCAGTTTTCATAGGGAAGGATTTTCTTACCAATCACTACAAGCTTTTCAGATTAGGATTCTTTTTTTTAATACAGCAAGAAACCATTGTGTATTTAGAATAGGAAGCATCTTTTCCTGCACTGATGTCATACACTGATCTGCCTTTGTATTTTAACTTTGATAAACAATACAACTTTCTTTATACTTGGAAAATTGTTTTCAAAGGCTCGAGGAAATTAACAAACACAGCCATCTACTGACCTCCTAGAAGTCTCTCTTCTACCACTTTCCTTCCCATCCCACCCTTCATGCTTCTACTGTTATTGTTCTTGGAAAATTTTACTTAAGTCAATAATCAACTGTAACTTGAGAGCCTCTATGGCCAAAATGGAGTCTGCTCTGCAAGCAGCTGTGCTCAGAAAAGGTGCTTGCAAAAATAGGCAAAGTCCCTTCCATTGGAGGGGCACCTGTTCCAAACCCTCTGGAGTGAACACACACTCACTGGAATAGTACAGGACTATGTAGCACTTTAAAGACTAACAAGATGGTTTATTAGATGATGAGCTTTCGTGGGCCAGACCCACTTCCTCAGATCAAATAGTGGAAGAAAATAGTCACAACCATATATGCCAAAGGATACAATTTAAAAAAAAATGAGCACACATGAAAAGGACAAATCACATTACAGAACAGAAGGGGGATGTGGGGGGGGGGGGAGAAGGAAGGTGAATGCCAGTGAGTTAATGATATTAGAGGTGGGGAAGGGGAAATGTCTGTGAGTTAATAGTATTAGAGGTGATAATTGGGGAAGCTATCTTTGTAATGTGTAAGATAACAAAGACCCCAGCTAAGTCCCGTGCGGAGAGTGTCGAATTTTAGCATGAATGCCAGTTCAGAGGATTCCCTTTCAAGTGCAGATTTGAATGTCTTCTGAAGTAGGATGCAGGTTAGCAGGTCATTGAGACTGTGTACTTTATGGTTGAAATGACAAGCAACTGTTTTTTCTTTGTGATCCTGTCTAATGTCTGTTTTGTGGGCATTGATTCTTTGGCGAAGGGTCTGAGACGTTTGTCCAATGTACATAGCAGATGGACACTTTCGGCACATGATAGCATAGATTATATTTCTGGAGGCGCAGGAATATGTATTCTGTATAGTACAGTGAATATAGAAGGGAAAATATTTACAAGAGGCTGAATAAAGAAAAAACAGGGGGAATATATGGGAAGCAGTAAAACAGGGTTACATCTGCCACACGGGACACCATGCATGGCATCTGCCGAAGCTGGAACAAAGGTCCCAGTAGGGACAGCTTCACTGCGGCCCTGGATTCAGTCAGAGAACGCCAGGTTAGCTGCCCACTACACAGCCCCACCAGTCAGGGATGGATGGTGTTGCGCCAGACCTAGAACCAAGGGTGAGGCTGCCCTAGTAAGTGAGTGGTAAGTGCTATTGGGCAGCTCTGAAATCAAGATGGGAAGGCCTAGAATTGTGCATGGCTAGACACGCACACACCTTAGGGGGAACTATGCTTGGCAGGTGGGGCAGCTGCTCCAGCCCACCCTTTAATTGATTAACTGGTTAAACAGGATTTTACATTCCTACTTCTGACCAAAGCACAAAGGCTAATGAACAAGTCTGGATTTCAGTGGTAGCTAAAGATAATTGAAAAGGTAGGCCTCAGCCTTTACAAACATCCCACAGATAGTATTTTTTATTATCATATCCATTGCTACTTCTATTATAGCATCATTCAAATTGTGTTAAGCACTTTGCAAACACAGAAGTCCTCATCCTAAAGAGACCAGTCTCTAGGTATTTTCTAGAAAACTATACGGAACACTCAGATGTCAAAGCACATGCCAAGAAGGGATAACCCAATCTAAGAAGCCAAAAATGGTACAGAAATATTTTACTCCCCGGATCAAACTAAGTTACACACGACAGAGTTTGCAAAAGCGACAAGAAGTCCTGTGGCACCTTACAGACTAACAGACGTATTGGAGCATAAGCGAAAGCTTATGCTCCAATACGTCTGTTAGTCTGTAAGGTGCCACAGGACTCCTTGTCACTTTTGCAGATCCAGACTAACACGGCTACCCCTCTGATACAGGACAGAGTTTGTTCATCTTGATAAGACACAACTACGTGGCCTCAGGTCACTCAGAAACTATTGGAGATTATCTGTAATCTAGGAACTCCTCCCCTCAGAGAAGCAGCAAAAGGTTTTATACAGCACTCAAAGTCCTGAACCAAAAGGCTATAGAGATTTATAGCGATGAACTGGTCTCACAGCAGTTACTGAACTTCATAAAAATAGTAAGACCTCACCTTGTATATAAGTGCACATCCCACAGATACAATCATTGCTCCTACAATGTGGAATCTCAGACGTTTGGCCAGTAGGCCCCTCATCTGTGGTTTGGGCAACAGAGTAGATGACATGTTGATGATTTCTCCTAGGAAAGCAATGCATTGGAAAGTTATTAAAAGATTTACACAGGATGTTCATGTCCTAGCTAACGTATTTTGTTTTCTAAGTATATAATAGGTTCTAACCTCATTCATGGCCATGAAAAACACATCACAGACCATGAAATTTGGTCTCATCCAACACAGATTTCATGTTGTAGACCAGCATCTTTCAAATTGGGGATTGGAAGATTACAGGAGGGCGGAGGGAGTTGGAGGACTCAGTGTTCACAATATTGCCACTTTTATATCTGCACTGCATTCAGAGCTGGGAGAACAGTATGGTAGCTGCTGAGAGCCCAGCTCTCCAGGAAGCAGCACCAAAAGATGACAATACCATGCTATCCTTACATCTGTGCAGCTGCTGATGGTGGCACCCCTACAATAATTTCATGCACCCCCTCCAAAACTCTTTTGGGCAAAGGGACTATAATTAAAACATGATGAAATTTTAGATTTAAATAGCTGAAATAATGAAATTTATGATTTTATAAGTTCTATGGCTATGAAATTCACCTAAGTGGACTGTGAATTTGGTAGGGCCCTATATATAGCAGCCTTTTTAAACTAAACATTTCACAAGAGGCTAGCAAACAACATATGCAAGACTGCCCCCTCTGAAATTCCTCCTTACAGTATCTGAGATGCCTTCTCAGGACAATGAAAACACAACAAACCTTAAATAACTTACATATAAAAACTAGGTCGGGGTGGGGAACTTTTTTGGGTTAGGGGCTGCTGATCCACAGAAAAATCAGTCAGGGGCCACACACAAGTCAGAAGCAAAACAAAAACCACCCAAACCAAACCCTCATGATGTGGCCCCCAGCTGAGAAGCAAAAAGATACACCCCATATTCCCCTCACACAGCAGGAGCTAGTGGGGCACAGGCTAGTAGATTTTGTGTGCACCAGCCCTTTGGGTGGATGGCAAGGAAGCTGGCATGCCAGTTAAAACTCCCCAATGCTCAGGAGGGGGGAAAGGAGCCCCAACCCTCAGGGGCCTGATCTAGTTAAGCTGGGGGCCACATCCGGCCCCGGGCCTTAGGTTTCCCATCCCTACACTAGTTGATTGTTTCTTTCTACTATTTACTGTGTCATATATATAAGAGAGAGATACCTCTCTCATAGAGCTGGAAGGGACCTTGAGAGGTCACTGAATCCAGTCCCCTGCCCTCATGGCAGGGCCAAGTACCATCCCTGACAGATTTACCCCAGATGGCCCCCTCAAGCAAGGATTGAACTTTCAACCCAGAGTTTAGCAGGCCCATGCTTAAATGCTCAAACCACTGAACTATCCCACCCCACCATACCTTTCCTTCTTCTAAAGTTTACTATCATTTCACACTTGTGACAAGTTTGCTCACATTTTTTAAGGCCAGGAGCCATACAGGAAACCCTTGTGATTTGCCATTTGCGGTGGATGCATTCCTGTATCACGTATGATTAACACACTAGTTTAAAAAAATGAAGGCGGCAGACAATGCTATTATAAAGCAATACAGCTCTTCAGAGGTTTAGCGTGCCATGTGTGCAGTAGTGCACCAAACAGTGCACACAGCAGTCTGAGCCCCCCAAGGCTGAACGGCAGGCATTGCCCATTGTTGCCAGTGTAGCGATGCCAGCAAAGCTCCCCCGGCTGCAGCGGGGATACAAGTGCTTTGCTGAAAACGCTCGGTGGGTACCTGTTGGCCCTAGGCACGCAAGGCAGCGCTCGTCTGCGGGCTGCTGCTCGGAGCCCCCAGTAACAGACCTCCCGCTGCGCAGCCTCTGGGACTCCGCGCCGAGAACTAGGCCGGGTCCCGCCGC